GTCGTGTCGTCGGTCGTGTGTGTGTGTGTGTGTGTGTGTGTGTGTGTGTGTGTGTGTGTGTGTGTGTGTGTGTGTGTGTGTGGGGGGGGGGTTCTACAGTCAGTTTTAGTACAGAAATGTCAAATAATAAAGGCTGTGGTATAGTACAGTGATTTCAAGCATATGGGTCTGGCCCCTCTAAAGGGTCACAAGATTAATGTGAGAGGCCGCACATTAATCTTGATAAATGTTTTAAATTCAAGTTTTAGTGGATTAGTTGTTATTGCATATGGGGAACAGTCGTTTTTCAATTAAATTCTTCGATTTCAGACTCCCGTGAACAATAATAAAAAATAAATATATAAGTAAAACTGAGAACCTATACGATTTAAAGTACTTAATGCATAGGTTAAATATTTTTATTTGGGATAAAATATACATATAAAATATAATAATATATAATAGGATTAAAAACCAACCCGTGAAACAGGATTTATTTTCTCTCAATTGTTATTTTTTGGGAATATTGATGAGGTTCAACATATTACAATGAAACTATATCAGAAGCTAAGAGGGAAAAATCCCTTTTTGATGAAACTGCAAAAAAAAAGTATTAGACATTTGAAATTTGTCACAAAAAAACAAAAATGGAAATACTTGTCTAACAGTTAATAATGAGTTGTAGCCAATGTTATACATGATCACATGCTTTTTTATGTAAAACCATGACCTGAAAAATTACTAGTAACTATACCTACTATAGTAAATGTAATTGTAATGTATGTATATTTTATCTATCTCTAACTAAGTGATCAATGATCAGTAGTATCTTTACACAATTTCTCAATTTATAAAATATTTTAGGCGAGGTAAAGTGAATTGAGACAAAAGCGAAATATTCTAATATTTATTATGTTTAAACAATAAAACTGTTAAATACAAACAAAGCTTGTATTGCCCACAACCTTACCAGCATTCCTCTTTTTCCTTGAGGGAGATTGTTAATGTTATGGGGGGTGTGTAGCGTAACCTCCTCCTGTTCTAGTGTCACGTGACTCAGCTCTGGTCCTGATGCTGCTGTTACCGGGATACTGTATGAGGAGTGATTAATGCCACTGAGCAACAGGATGAGGAGCAGCAGGAGCTCTGTCAGCAACATTGTGAACCATAACATTGTGTGTTACACATTGTATACGAGGAGATATATACAATATACACGCTACATATCATTTTTGGAAAACAAATTGTGATTTAGATGATGAAAAAACATATGTGTTGTAAAGCCAAAATGTATTTGCTTGCTTTTCATTGTCATCATAAAATGCAGCTGAGGTGCTAAGAACAGTATTTTTTCTCTTAACGTAACGTCTACTTTTCAGCTAGACCAAAAACCAGACCTGCAGCATTCTGGATGGGCCCAAGGTGTACAGGCCTGAAACAAATACAAATAAACCTTAGCTTCTTGAAACATAATAGTCACTTCGGGCTATTTTAGTGACATCAGTTAGTTGTTTATGCTAATAACTGTAATAACCTAAAGTAAACATGGCTGTAACAATAAAATAGTATTTTGGTTATTTAGATATAGGCCTATGGTTAAATGCAATCCCTTCAGATTAATGTAATGATATTTCCAACAACCATCAAGACCATTATCATGTAATCAGTTCACAATCCACGGTTTGTAGCTTTAAGACCTTCCTTTCGCTGCTTTGGGGCACTAATCACCCCCCATACAGGCATCATCGGTGCTGATGTGGAAATTCCCTTTCTGCCATTTAAAAGCTCCGCTCTGAGGGCAATGTGAGCTCAATGCGCTGCGGACACAAATACCAGGTTATGAACAAAAATATGTAGGATAGCAGCTTGTGTAAAGAGAGGGACAACAGAAGAGAGCAGGTGTTGCATGTTTTTTAAATGGGAAATCTGTTGGGCAGCTGGCGTTTCAAGGAGCCGAGCACCGTTGAGGAATGCGACTCGACGTGGGGGTCGGACTCCGAGGGCGACGAGCCGGCGGCGGCTGGAGATGACAGCGGCGTGTCGGGCTCCGTCAGCCCGGCGGACAGCGTGCGGGCCGCCGGAGAGCCCGGGGAGATGTCCCCGCAGGTACAGTGAGGGTTATCTGGGCTATGTGATGACTCAACGGGGGGCAACACAGGGGACACTTTAACATGTGTGCCCCGGCAGCACGTTATTGTCGAGGCCAGGACACAGAGAGGGCGACCGAGCATGCTGCTGGGTGAGAAGGCTTCATTCGGAAATATGTCAATTTAATACTAAATGAAAAGACATTTACTCACATGGTGTGAACTGTAGGCTTCTTTACGGTGGCTGAGAGGTGCAATTGACAATTACAAAGTGTGAAACACTTTAAAAAAGCTTGAGACAAATTTACATTTTATAAAACAAATTTACATTTTATAAAACAAATTTACATTTTATAAAACAAAATGACACTATCAAAACACTTTTACCAAAGAAAAACAATTTAACATTAACAAAAACAAATTAACAAGATGCGAAACACTTTTACAAAGCTAGAGACACATTTACAAGTGTCGAAACACTTTAACATTTCCCGAAACACTTTAACATTTCTTGAAACACTTTAATATTTACCGAACCACTTTAACATTTGCCGAAACACTTTAATATTAACTGAACCACTTTAACATTTGCCGAAACAGTTTAACATTTGCTGAAACACTTTAACAAACTCATGGGCGTAGGAAGCATCCTGAATGTGGGGGGACATTTTTAACGGGGGGTTTGGGGATCCCCCCCCACGAAAAAAAAAATAGATTTCCTGTATTCTGTTACATTTTAACAGGTGGTTTGATACTTTTATGTGGCTATTCTAGCATGAGGAAAATGCTGGGTATATTTTGTAATTTCATCCAGTAGTAAAGAAAGGAAACATATTTGATTATTAATTCAGAGCCGTCTTTGAATTAATAAAAAGCAGTTTAAATGCCCATTTTTTGTACATTTATAAACAACAATAAATATTTGTGAGTGCATTGAGAGATATTGTTGTGGAGAGTCATTTATATATAAATCGCAAAATACATTAGTGAATCCTTCTGTGAGCATTTATTAATATTGAGACTGATCTGACTCCATACTGATGTTAAGTTCACCTAGGAATGGTATCATTGACTTAAATGTTCAAATAAATGTTGCTCTTCAGTCTATATTGGTCATATGATGCCCCTTGGGGGAGGTCATGTCGCGTGTAATTCTGCATCCTCCTCAACGTAATCCATTGCGACACCACCGACATGACGAGGTCGGCAGAGGAAGACGACAAACCAAACAAGGGACCAGACACAACAAAACACACACGCACCACCGACAGTGAGTGACCGAGGGCCGAGTTGGGAGGTGAGTGACGACGTTAGTCGACACGTGGGAGGGGAGCTGATGATGTGGACGAAAGGGAGTCGTAAATGTTGCCAGTATAGTGTCTCCGAGGGTGTTGGTAAGAGGCGGTCTAGCAGTTCATCGTCGGCATAAGCGCAGAGAGGAGGCCATGTGTCGTGGCATCACCACCCTCAACGTGAGATCATGGGCGCTCTATGCCGACCATGAACGCGTTATCAAAATGGACAATACCTAGTCATAGTTAGTCGGACGTCATTGCAATGAGATAATAGGTTACGATGAAATCAATATCGGATATATATTATCGATTGAAGTGTTAGACCAACACTACAACTGCAATCGATTGTAAGACATCATTGCGGCCAGTGAGTGGTTCTATCGACGGGTCAAGAGGTGACCAAGAGGAGTGTGGTGTCGAGTTAAAGAGAGGCTACCGGCAATAAAGAAGATTTAGGAACCGGACGAGAGACCAGAGACCTGCGGAATCGTCCGGTATTATATTCCAACACCAGCGCAGTAATACGTAAGACTTATAAGTGCAAGTTGAAAAGACACAGACAGACACAGACTTTGTCGTAACCTAGAGTACAATAATTATTGAAATGTGGCCGGCGAGAGGGGGAACAACGGGGACACATGCAGGTGTGCGCCCTCCAAGTGCACGGCTCGAAAAATACGCATTCACTTGTAAAGAATGTTTTTGACTACGGTCTACAGTGACATTAACATTATAAAGACATATAAAACCCGTTATAGATCACATAAGGTATTATAGAGGACGTGATAAATAAGGTGTCCACAAAAATTGGACTCTGAACGAGAATACCCTCCACATGAGATGCGTGCAGAATTTACATAAAAATACAGTTGTCTAAAAGTGTAAGAGCACAATCCAATCAACTTTCGGTTTTACAATGCAAATTATTTTGCATTATAATAACCACAAGTTGATTTGAAAATTGTCAATACCCTGTAAGCAACTGTTTTATCTTGAATTAATTTCAGTTGTAAAGCCAAAAAATCACATACCTCTTTCACAGTCACTGTCACCTCACGTCGACCCACCTAATCTACGGTACCTCCTCATCAGCATCATGCCACCACTCTCCACGTTAGCTGTAATATGTTTCACACTTGAAATGAAATCTTACTAGAGTAAACGTGGTTCTCTTTCATATGAGGCATCTACTCGTTTTGGTACAGTGAACCGGGTCCACCAAAAGGTGTCTTGCCTGTTTGTACAAATTGCTGGTCGTTTCAGGGTATCATGGCACCAGATATGGCGGTTTTTTTATAAACACAGTTAGTGAGCGTGTAGTGAGACCATCTACCCGTGTAGGGAAAGGCAACTAAGAGATCAAACAAGTACCCGCAGCGTCGGTTATATACTCCCACCCTGTTCAGGGAGGTGAAAAACTTTACTAATCAAATCTGGGGGGGTGAAGATGGTACACCTTTCAGGACACTGCCAGATAGGGTGAGCGCGCTTGAAACAACTCGCGACACCAGTTACGAAGTGATAGTTTCTGGTAAGGTGAACGAATAACTCTCTTACGGTTTTAGTTACTTTGATGGCATGGTACAATAAGTGACGATGAAATCATGGTTCCGTCGTAAGAGTGCCTCCACTAGGATCCCGGAAAATCTAGAGTCCGTAGGTAATGCCCAACAAGCGAAAAAACAACAACTTTTCACAAGGGGAAGGGGGTACAGACAGCAACTAATACCACGTGGACACGGTACACCAACAGAGGGAGGAGGAGTGTACACAGGACACCCAATAACCCAACCCGTAAATCCGAGACCCAAAACGACAATCTTTTCCTCACACACACTCTAGGACCACACGACCACTGACACGCGTATCCTACGTGTCTAAACTCCGACACAGTATAGTATACACATATTAATTATTTACAGGTGTGGCCCAACATAAAAACTGCAAGACGAGCGGAGTAACGAACCAGGGCCCGGCGAGTAACAGTCGAAGTGTGTCCAAGAGGGGTAATCGCAACGCTTACAAGTTCCTCACAACGGTATCAACTGTCGAGTCTAGCAACATACTTCGCTACGGGTCCATCGTCTCCATTCCGGTGTGTGGTTTACAAGTCCTGTTAACAATTATGATCGCTTTAGTTTCGATGCTAGGAACCAAATATACAAAAGAGGGGGTCTGTTGTCACCTGTATCTCTGTAAAAAAAGTTTCTTCCTTTCATTAGCAGAGCGACATCGTCAAAGTAGTCAATTTAGTCACTACCGCCGTCGCCGCCGTTTCGCGGAGTGAAGACCTCTCCTCAAAAGCAGAAATAAGTACTATCTCTTCTATGTTATGACTTATCAAATCTACTCTTTCCGTAGCTTACCGGTCCAATCGATCATAAATAAGTACATTTGTCCCTTAGAGATACACGAGTATCATTTGTGGTATAGGTGTTATACCTAGTTTGGACCCCTATTATGAGTATTTGCCGATGACTACAGTTCTCTCCGTAGTCATACAAAATGCCTAGGAGTCAAGCTATTCTCTAATAAAAGACTCAAGGAATTCCATACGAGAGAGAGTTTTTACCTTACCACGTAATACAAAATTAATATGAAGAATAGTAATTTCTTCGAAAACACACACACAATATACAAAATGACTCCGAATATCCGTTAAAGGGTAGGGTGCATAAGTCAATGTGATAAATAAAAGACACGTGTAATGTATCTTATCGATTTAATAATATGTTATGACGAACCCTGAAACTAGAAAGGTTTTACAGGTTACAGGGTTGACCCCTTGAATGAAATGTCAGTCAAACATTAAATGTAAGTCATACTGAACAATACTAAGTTACCTTTCTCACATGACGAGTTATTTATATAATATGTGAATGATGGAGAGAACTGTAGATCCGCGAATCTAACTCAGTTCCGTCTTGTGTCCCTGTAACCTCTCTCCAATAACGACTCCACCCACTTACTTCCCCTTACATGCAAATCTCATTTAACACTACGACCTAGAGGTAGGGTCTTAAAATTTCCTTAGTCACCCCTATAAAATGTCCTT